AAAGACTGTGAGCAATTTGTTTAATCTCTCTGAGCTCCCCACCCTCATAGGTAAAATGAAATTGTGTCAGTGATTAAATCAGATGATGTACAGAAAGTGCCTGTGCATGGCACACAGTAGGTATTAAATGAATGCTATGTTGCTATCATTAAACGTAATGATGTCATATTTACTCATTATCCTGAGACTTGTAGACAGTTCCTTCACACTCCTTTACAGAACATCTTTTAAAAAGAGAGAGAGGAAACAGAATTTTCTCTTCAGTGAGCAACTCTCTTAGTTGAAGCCAGGTTTGGCAGAGTCTCTGACCATACACACAGATAAAAAGCACTTCTTGTCCAGGATGCTTTCTTTCCCTTATGCAAACAAAATTCCACAGGAGGGAGGGCTTTGGAGGGGCACAGAGATCTCCTCCCCAGTGGAGCCAGCAGGACACTTCTGGGCTCTGGTGTGTGTCTTCATTTATCTTCCTATAGGAAATGCCTAAGATCCCACTCAGAAGTAAATGCTCTTTGCTATGACTCAAAGAAACAATCCTTATTCTCCCCAAACCTGAAGTTTGAGGTTCCTAATGATTTGGAGTAAAACACCCTTGGCATTCTTCAGAGGACAGGTTCTCCCAAGCAGGGAAGTAACAAGATGGAAAGAAAGAACTTTGAATAAGCACATAAGCTGACTTGCTTTTGCCCCAGGGGAGGTATCCAGACCTAGGCAACACCTCCTCTCTCTTCTTTCCCTTTCTTTCCAGAGGAGGGGAGATGGGGGCTGAAGGATAACAGACATGAACTGGAGAGATTGGGTTAGAGGGAACCAATCAACCTGGCTTGGAATAACTTGGCCAGGACCCTGGAATGATTCTCACAATTTCCTAGACAACCTGGACCTTCCAAATCATCAAGCAGGGTAGCCTAGAATAGAATTGTGACTTTATAGACCACTATCCCAAGGTGCCTAAGCTCTGGAATGATAAGTTCCTGTACTTTTCCCTTTCTTTCTGTCTCTCTACAAAGTAATAGGGGGAAAGAGGTCTATAAAGTATTAAAAGTCATTATTAAAATATGAGAGGTTAGGTGGAGACCATGCACAGTATGCATATTTGTGTTTTAAAAAAGAAACGGAGGGTAAATATATTCATGTGTTACTTCCTTTTTTTTTTTTTTTTTTTATTTATTTCTAGGAGAGAGAGAGACAGCGTGAGCAGGGGAGGGTCAGTGTGAGAGGGAGACACAGACTCTGAAATTGGCTCCAGGCTCTGAGCTGGCTGTCAGCACAGGGCCCGACGCGGGGCTCGAACCCACCAACCGCGAGATCATGACCCAAGCGAAAGTCAGACGCTTAACCGACTAAGCCACCCAGGCGCCCCTCATGTGTGCACTTCCTAATATTAAGATAAAAACACTGGAGAATAAACCATACTATTTACATGGGGGATGGAAGTTGGAAGGAACAGGGATGGAAGGCAGAGTTTCTTGAATATATAATGTTTTGTAGAGCTCACTTTGGAACAGTGTACATATTTTACATAATTTAAAATAAAATTCAATAAAGGAATGAATAAAGCAATTCCAAAAGTAAAAGTAAACCTGTGTACCCAGTTGGCAGCATAACTACACAGAAAGAGCTATTCCATGGGATTAAAAACACAGTAATTTGACTAAATATCCCTAGTGAGATACACCGTGATAACAATTACAAAAAAGTTTTTAACTGTTTTCAGAAGCCATATTGTTGGTGATAACATTGTTTTTGTGCAATAAGGAAAATACATTTTTAATGGTTGAAACAAGATGTAGATATAAGATCAAAGAAGCTAAATAAATAGCCAGTAGTCCCAAATTTGAATTGGAAGTTTGTTTAAACTCATGGTATATATTTTTCCTTAAAAATGTTTCTAGTTCTTCCCACTGAAAGGCCAAGAAACAATGCTTTTGCCAATATCACACTGTCTTGATAACTTTAGCTTTATTGGAAGTCTTGCAATCAAGAAGTGTTTGTTCTATGACTCTGTTCTTCCTCAGTATAGTGTTGGCCATTGTGGGTCTTTTGTCTTTCCATATAAAGGCTTCAGGATCAGTTTATAGCATGGTTGCAAGATATAAATATACAAATTTTTTAATATACTGCTTTTTTGTATACCAACAATTAAAAATCAGAATTTGAAATTAAAGACAATTATCATTAGCACCAAAACCTCTGAAACTTTGGGTATATATTAAAACACTCATCAAAGAAATTAAAAATCTAAATAAGTGGAGAGATATTTCATGTTCATAAAGACTCAATATTAAGATGTCAGTTCCTTCCCAATTAATCTATAGATTCAATGAAATTTCAATCAAAATTCCAGCAAGTTATTTTATGGATATCTTTACTTGCTTATTAGTTCCACAAGTTTTCTTGTTGATTCTTTGGCAATTTCTACATAAACAATCATATCATCTGCAAATACAGTTTTGTTTTCTCCTTTCCTATCTAGATATGTTTTATTTCCTTGTCTTGCTGCATTAGCTGGGACTTTAGTGCAATGGTAAGTAGGAGCAGTAAAGAAGCAATACTTGCTTCATTCCCAACTTTACAGGGAAAGCATCTAGTTTCTCACCATTAAGTGTGATGTTAGCTGTAGCATTTTTATAGAAGTTCTTTATAAAATTGAGTTTCTTCTCTATGCCTATTTTACTGAAAATTTTCATTGTAAGTTTTCTTTTATATCACAAATGTGGAATTTGTTCAATGCTTGTTATCATTCTATTGTTAAGGTGATTTTTTTCTTCATTATATGATGTGATACTTTTTTTTTTTTTTTTTTTTGAATGCTGAATGAGACTTTTATACCTGGAACAAATCCCATTTGGTAGTGATGTATAATTCTTTTTAAAAATTTTTTTTAAATGTTTATTTACTTTTGAGAGAGAGAGTGTGTGTGGGTGGAGGAGGGGCAGAGAGGGAGATGCAGAATCTAAAGCAGACTCCAAGCTCTGAGCTGTCAGCACAGAGCCTGACACGGGGCTCGAACCCATGGACCATGAGATCATGACCTGAGCCAAAGTCGGATGCTTAACTGACTGAGCCACCCCGGCGCCCCAGTGTAAAATTCTTTTTATTTATTATTGGATTCAAATTGCTAACATTCTGTGACAAATTTTTAAATCTATGTTCATGAGAGAGACTGGCCAATAGCTTTCCTTTCTTGTAATGTCTTTGGTTTGTTGGCTTTGCTTCTATTTTCTGGAAAAGATTGTTAAGAGAGTTGGTATAATTTCTCTCTTAAATGTTTGGTAGAATTCAGTGAATTCATCTAGGCCAGCTTTTTGTTTTGCAAGGTTATTAATTATTCAATTTCTTTAATAGAAACAGGTATATGCAAATTATTTCTCCTTGCGTGAGTTTTGGTGTACTTTGTATTTTAAGGAATTGCTCCATTTAAGTTATCAAGTTCTTATCTTTTTAATGTCCACAGGATCTGTAGTGATGGTACATCTTTCATTCCTAATATTAGTAATTTATGGGGCACCTAGGTGGTTCAGTCAGCTGAGTATCCGACTCTTGGTTTTGGCTCAGGTCATGACCTCCTATTTTGTGGGTTCGAGCCCTGAATTGCACTGTCAGTACAGAGCCTGTTTGGGATTCTCCCACTCTCCTTCTCTCTCTGTGCTTCCCCAGCACAGAGTGCTCACTCACTCAAATAAGCTTAAAAAATACCCCTAATATTAAAAAACACCCCTTTCTTTTTCTTAGACAATTTGGATAAAGGTTTATCAATTTTACTGATCTTTTCAAAGAATTAGCTTTTGGTTTCAACTTTTCCGTCTTCTGTTGATTTTCTATATCCAATTTCATTGATTTTTGCTTTTCTTCATTGATTTTCTTCTTTCTTGTGGTTACTTTGGATTTAATTTGCTCTTCTTTTCCTAGCTTCTTAAGGTGAAAGCTTAGAGTAACAATTTTATATCTTTTTCTAATGTATATAGTCTATATTATAAGTTGCTTCTAAGAGTTGCTTTCATGGCATCCCACAAATTCTGACCAATTATATTTTCAAATATTTTTTAAATGTCTCTTGAGACTTCTTTGACCCATGTTATCTGGAAGTGTGTTTAATCTCCAAGAACTTTGGGATTTTCTGACTAGCTTTCTGTCCAATCTCTGGCCTCCAGAACATTAAGATCATAAGTTTCTGTTGTTTTAAGCCACTACACTCAAGGTCATTTTTACAGCAGCAATAGGAAACCACTATGATACTCTTGTACTAGACTGTATACTGAGAGCATATAATATTTTTGAATCTCAGTCTTTTTTCAGTATGGTTTGGCCATGGTCAGAGCTATTTGGTTGCTTCCCTATTTCCTTATTAAATCAGGGTTAGCATCACCTGTAAAAAGCTTTTTCCAATATGTATGTCAATGTTCCACTCAAGATGTTAACTGGTGTTCTGTAAAAAGAAGAGAACAGGAAGGGAAGGTAATACTCTTAAATATATGAAAAGTAAAGAGTATTTGACTTGAAAATCTGCATTTGAGAAAGCTGCCATATTTGAGAATGCACAGACCTGATATAAATGAGGTGCCTAAACCATAAATACATACATTTGATTAGAGCATTAGTGCAAAGGCAGCATTACCTAACAGTCTCATTGATATGTCACCAACTCAGTGATCAATGTTCTCTGTTCCAGATCTTGTCTTATCCTCTCATATTATGCTTATAAGAGGTAGGTAGTTGTGTGTGTGTGTTTAAAAACATTAGTTTATCAACTGGTTTTGTTTTAAAGAAAAAAAAAACGATATGCCAAATGATCATTCTTCAGCAATTAACTTATCTGAAATAACTTCTGGGGTTCTACTTTATTTCATGCATTCATTCTATTTAATAAACTACCACTATTCTGTAATGCACCATTTAAAAGTTTTCACTGTCAGTAAGTTTGGGAAATGCTACGCTATAAAACAAATAATTTGAGTTTCTGTGAAAGATGAATGACTGTCAATGATAAAAAATATAAATCAGATTTTCTAAAATGTCTTTATTTTAAAAACCTATACAGTTTCAATTTAATAAAAAATATTGCCATGAAATATCTAATTATACAGCAACAGAAATACAGTTAATTAAGGTTATCCAAAAATAAATTCACAATTTTAAAGTTGGAATACATATGATTTTTTCAAATAAACAGTTAAAAGATTTTGTTTCAGATGGTCTTCCTCTTGAACATTCCAGATACACATACTGAATCTTCTGAACTAGAACCAGACAACCTCTTAATAATGACATATAACTGCTTCTATTAACTTGAAAAATAAAGTAACTCCAAACCATTCAAATTACTCATTTAGTCACAAAACACTAAAAAAGCCAAATAAATCACTGCTTTAAAATGTATTATCTTTAGAACATGAAATCTACATCTGAATTTTGAAAAGGAATAACCTTTGTATAAAAAAAGTTGAGTTTTCCTGACTGGCTGACTTATTTTCTATCAATTTTATCCTATTCGGACTACTTACACAATATCCTGAAAGAGTGTGAGGTGTTAAAATATGAAAAGCTTCTTTGGCCCTGTAAGCAGAGGTACCTTAAATGTAAACAATTGCAGTGAGAGTCTTCCAGATGTGGGCACCTATGTCTTATATTGAGTTGGAGATGTATGTCCTTGTTTCTCAAAGACATGTTAATTTCCTTTCCAATAACAGATTTGATACATTGAGATATGTTTTCAAATACTTTAAAAATTAAAATTCATATATACTTCTATAAAGAATACTTCAAAAGATCAGAGAAAAGCATTATATAATGATATTAGATTGTAAGTTTTATTAATGGTAAATGTTTGCATTAATTTTTAAAAGCTTAGCTATTGCTAAGCATTTTTTTAACAAAAGCTAATAATAAGCAAGAATCATTTGCCATACAGAAACTCTATTCACGAGCAAGACCTTAATCAAGTGGAAGCTAAAAAACACTGGAAAAAATACAAAGCAAAACACTGCTATGCATCAATTAAACTGCCTTCTATCACACTGAATATACTGTATTTAGATGACAAACATACTGAAGTTAACAGAAAAACAATTTTGTGGATTCAGGCTAAGTAAGACTAGCATTAAGAAGAACATGCAAACCATGATTTCCTTAAAAAAAGTTTTTTAAGCCAAATCACCTGAACAAAAGTTCTGTTTTTCATTTGAAGGGAAGACAATCTGTGTTTACCAAACACGATCCTCCTTTCGTTTTAAAACAGCAAATTGTATGAACCCTCGCTCTTCTTCCCAGATGCTACTTATACATGACTTTGCATAATGACTTACAGAATTACTTTTCTGGTAACAGTGTCATGGCCATAAATAATCAGGTTTTTAAAAAAAAAACAAATATCAAGTGCAAATCTAGAAAACTCCCTTTAAAGAATTACCCAAAGCCAGCACACACATGGTACTGCTGTCCCACAAGCTGAGCAATACGCCTTATCGATGTGTGTGATGATACACGCACACTAAAGACAGCCTTCTATACAGTTTTAGTAGCGTTGCCAAGTTAATAATTCTTTCAAGGCACTGAAGAATTATGTAGATGGATTTTCCAAAATATAATTAACAATTGCTTAAACTTGTTACAAAGCCCTGAGTCAGAACTTTCAATAGCTTCCTGAAATTATAGATTTCAGACAAAATGGCATATTTGTTTATTTTATAGAAAATTACAAGACCATTTTGCAGTTTGGAGGAAAGAAGTCATGTTTATGAAACAAAGTCATGTAGACTATACAGGAAAAGTAAAATACTCAGTAATATCTTTCTTACACATTTTGTACATGTCAATTACAACCTGTAATTATGGATTTATGTGCTAAATTGATGTGGCAAGTCACCCTTCCTGCACCTACTTGCTTAAATCCTCAACAAAATAAAAATCTCAATTTGAACCTCGGGTTCCCATCTCTACCTTAGTCACAAATAAGAATAAAAGCTGGAAAAGTAATACTCTGACAGAAAAGGAGGTAGAAAATGCTGCTGTAGCAACTTACAATTTTAATTCATCAGCTCCACTAACTCGTTCATATTTTTATGTTCTAGTTTCATCCACTAACCATTTATCAGTAAACTGAGTCTCAATCTAAAGGATTTCCCCCTCACTGTAGCAAAGCAATGTACAACTGAGACAGCATTGAATAGTTTTTCCTAAAATTTAATGTTTTAAAGAAGTACAACTATGGTTATTAATACTGCTATTGTTATATATTTATATGTGTTAAAATTCCAAGGCTATTATATGATTATCAAGTAATATCAGTATGCATTCCTATCATAATATTCAAGCAAATAAAATTAGGCTGAGTTTTTGAGAGAAAAAAAAATATTCTGAGACCGTTACAAGAAGACTTAAAGACAACTGACATTTTTGACAAGGCACACATAGTCTGTGAAAATCTATTACCTTCCCAAATTCGAAGCTAACCTAATTCTAATGTTTAAAATGTTTTTTTCCCCCTCCAGCTTCAAAAGAAATAACAAACCCTTCCAATTAACAGACATTTAAAACCAACTCAATTATGATTTATTACAGTCGGGAAGAAGGGAAGAAATTCTGTCATCCCTCAAATTTTAGGAACTAAATATTGACCACGACTTTAAATCTTGCAAACACAACCAAGATAATTCAGGTTGTTCCTTGATTTATATTTAACCATAATTTTATTCCACTGGCGGAAGAAGAGAAAAGGAAGTTATTGTTTAATGGGTATAGAGTTTCCATTCTGCAAGTGAGAAAATTCTTCTGGATAGCCTTTTAATAATGATGTGAATATACTTAACACTACTGACCTGAACACTTAAAGATAGTAAAGATGGTAAATTTCATGTTATGTGTTTTATCATTTAAAAAATGCAAAAAAAAATTCTATTCCAAAAATTCACTTTTTACACAAATTACTACTGTAACATTTCAGACACTCTGCGTGGACAGATGCTTTTCCTTTGGACATTTTGTAAAGCCAGGTGTATTAAACCATATAGTTTACAAAGCAATTGTAAATTAAATGACACTAAAAACTGGTTAAGAGACCTTTTTTTTATTATTCAATCAAATATACTCTCTCTGCTTACTGCTTTGATGAAATCTACATGACTTTCTTAAACCTCTTTTTTTCCTCTAAAATACTGACTTTTCTTTCTTACTTGCTTACAACTCCTTACTATCCTTCCTATCCTACCCCATCACTAAGGGTCCAAAATTCATAATAAACAAAGAATGGCAATTGGGCAACACATAACTAGATTGTGTATTTCTATCATGTAAAAATGACCCAGCAAGCTCTGACATTTGAGTTGAAAGATTCTTAAGCAGCATGCATTTCAATATGCTAAAATGCTCCTATAGGGTAAAGCCATCAAAGATACAAATTTAAGAATGCTATCTTCAACATTATCAATTAGTTTTATGTCTCAGTAACTATGTGGTCAATTTGCAATGTTTACAATTACAAACACCTTGTCCAAACATGATTTGGTCAGCTAAACACTTGTCTAATATCATACCCTACACTAATACAAAATGATCTTCGTTGAAAAGCCTTCTTGCTCCCAACAAAATTAAATATATAGTAGTATAAGCAAGAAGAAGGTTAAATTATGTGAACAAAAATGACTAGAATAGCACCATCTGGTAAGTTGTGTGTGTGTTTCGGGCAACAAGGCTGACAATCTTAAAGGAGAAAATGTGGTAGGAGTGCGGGGATACAGAAAGGGAATCCAAATGCTACTTTAAAGACAACTCTACTGAAACATTAGGAAGAAACGTTATCAGTACCTTTGGATCCCTTCTTGACTAAAGAGTTCTTCAAATGTACAACTGCTGCATGATAGATTCAGTGTGTGCTAAATGCTGACCATTTTTTCAATGTTATATATATCTAGCCCCTGAGGCCCAATAAATACATTTTTGAATGAATGTCTATGTTTTTTAAATGATTCTAGGAAACGTAAAAGTTCTTCTGAGGCACAAGATGACAAGCGGATGAGAAGGAAACATACCTAACTGGGAAAGTACTGCTGAGAGACGAAGAAGAGGTAGCAATTTCACAGAGTTAGAAGACAGTGGCTTAAATATCTCAGTTCTTAATCTTATTCGCGGTCACAAGCACAAAACAAATTTAAAATAATTTTTCAGGCGCTTGAAAACATGAATAGAGAAACATTTTCTATTCATTAAACAAATATCAGAGTGGTACAAATATAGAAAATGCACAAGTACACAACACTATATCACAGTGACCTTATATGACTTCTGTAATAGTTTAAGTTATGTTATTGTATTTTTAATGTAGAAGAAATAAACTAGTCTGGAAAATGACACTGCCCTTTAGGGATGTAAGTTTAAGCACTGCAAGCTCAAAAGACAAAAAAAAGATTTAAGTAAAGTAGAGCTCTAGACTGAATTCACTGGCTGGCCAAGCTATGCATGAGTCAGCCAGGTGTCCCCTCCTCTCCAGCTGACCTAGTAGAAAAGAGATGGGCAGCCTATGGCATGGAAGGAAAAAAATCCCGACTGTTGCTATTTTCAAATCTGAAAGAAAATAAATCTGTTTCTTTATGTGAACATCATGTCAGATGTTCTATCTTTTTATAACTCTGAAATATGGCTTTAAAAATAGCCTCAGTGGCCTTTTATTAGATAACTGAATCCATATAAATTTTCAAATTCAAAATTTATAAAAATTTTACTGTTCTAAATGCTAAGTTATGCATCTAACCACAGATATAGAATCAGCGAGACTACAAAATCAGCCAGCAAAGCTCACCACTGTTTTCACCAGGACCTGCAAAAGCAGCAGCCATTTAATTGCCAGGAATATTCTTAAATTTAGTTGTCATAACAAAAAAAAAAAAAAGAAAAAGAGAGAGAGAGAGAGAAAGAAAGAACCCAAATCAAAAAAAGGAAAAAACTACATGGTAACTATCCTTAGGAATAAGCTTATACATAGTATATAGTAGACACATTGTAAACAGCTGATATTTTTATACTCTAGCAGCAATGACCTCAAAACATTTATTTTATGTATATTCATCCTAGACAACAGTAAGATTCCTCATTCAAAGGGCAGAAAATGATTAAACGCTCTAGAATCAAAAGTTTGAGTTAAAGGAAAAAACTACAGGTAATCAGACATATTTCTGTAAATGTCCTGGTCACTCTTTCTAAAGTAAGAACTTATTATTAGGTTACTTACTATGTCTTGGATACTGTTGGCAATTTAAATAATATCCTCATCTGTAGGTATAGAGTGTTTTCTTTACAACAAGCCTTAGCAACTGAAAGAAAATGGAAGGAGGGCTTATGATGTAGGTAGAACCAGTAACACTATCAGAATCAACAGATATGGACGAGAAAAAGATTGTTGCCTTGAGACAATGCATTACCCTTCTCAGATCACTGGAGTACTACTCAGTATATGAGAAAAGTGACATGCCCAAATAGGGCAGTATCAGTTCACTGGTCAAGTCAAGCCTGGATAAGTGACCACAGGGAAAACTGAGGTACACTTTTCACAGACTTATTTTTTAAAGGCTGGCTAAACAGAACAGTGTATAAATTAATATAGGAAAGGCAACTGTTAATGGTCAGTTAAAAGGTACTCTTTTATTGGCCACTTTCCCCCACTTAAGTTCCCCACATGATTGCTTATTTTTCCTTTTCATGTCAATCATTCTGAAACTGGCAATTTGATTCAAGTTAAACAATTTTCCTTTTAAGTCTATAAATTAAGCTAAATGCAAAGTCACTACTCTCTCATTCCATGCTTCCATTTACTCTAAGAATTCAGAAACAATCATTTGCATAACTTTTTATCTTAAAAAGATAATCCTCTCTGCAAATAATCTTCTCTTCAATATTAACTATGTAAAACTCTTCTTATAATTTTGTCATTTAATATATGTGACATAATGGTTTGACTTGCCCTGTTCATTTGATGCATGACTTTTCTGAGTACCTGTGTCAACTCACTGCGTAAAATCATGATAAACTGAAGGACAGCTGATTAGAAGGAACTGTATTTCTTGAGATCAAGCAAATTTACAAACTATAAGAAAAATGCAATAAACACAAAAATAACAGGACATTTCTAAAGGATTTTCCCCTTAGAAGTGACAAGTAAATTACCTATGAATTACATGGATCAGATGTTTCAAATTAAAAGAAACAAAAAAGAAACTATGATATTAAAAATTAATTCATTAGAACTTCCAACTAGCTTAAACAGCTTTACTAAAAGCTCATGACCAAATACTTCAGCTAACAAAACACACTGAGTTTCTTAATACAAAAGAATCCTTCGCTCAATAGCCTTGCGACAAATAGGACATTCACTCATTCGATCTCCACAGAGCTGGCACGTTCCATGGCCACAGAGGAAAATCATATTCTTCAGACGATCCAAACACACAGGGCACATGGTCTGGAAAGGGAAATAACAAGGTAATAAATGCTGAGACATTTTATATTTTAAAATTGTATCATATAACAACTTTGTAACATCATTTTCTTCTGTTGTTTTAATCTTTTGTTGCTTTAAAATGTTCAAGGAATTTAATTTTAAAAATTTTAAGTAGTTAAAATGTTATCCCTATAAAAGAGAAATATCAGTTGTACTGTCAGGACTGAATAAAAGACACTACATAAAATAAATATTATATAAAACAAAAAATGCAAATGCCAAAATCTAGTAGGAAATGAATGAAAAATAGCCCCTGAATTCAGTCTCATTCAGATTCCTCAACTCTGTGTACTTTGCTGTTCTTGTAAGAAAATAACACAATACATCAGGCCTATGGGGGAGGGGGAACAGTGTACAGATGTCTCTAAAAACATGTGCCACACACTATGATAATATCTCAGCTCTATTATCACTCTCACTTTAAAAATGAGCAAACTGAGTCTTAGTGGGGCTAAACACCTCCCCACGGCAGGCCATAATGTAAACTGGGATCATATGGTCCCAGAGCTCTTGCTTTGAAATAGCCTTCACTGGATTACTATTAATGTAGACTCCCTTCAATTAAAAACAATTAGCCTTAGTTATATATTAATAAATGTAACTTCATGAACTCAGAAAAATTTAGAAGTATGTTAGGTATACTTTGGTGAAAGCACTCTAGGAAATCACGTATTTTTTCACAAAAACACACTTTATACTTTATTTTTATAAAAACATATTTTGCCTTACTATATATACCATGTTACTTCATATTATGAAGTCATTTCTATGTTTCCCAAGTATCCCAAGTAACAAAGAAATGACATAATTAAAAAGAATGTCTAAGCAAATCAGAGAACTCTAGATGCTGGCGAGGATGTGGAGAAACGGGCACCCTCCTACACTGCTGGTGGGAATGTAAACGGGTACAGCCCCTCTGGAAAACAGTGTGGAGGTTCCTCAGGAAAATAACAATAGAACTCCCCTAAGACCCAGCAATAGTACTGCTAGGAATTTACCCAAGGGATACAGAAATGCTGATGCATAGGAGCACATGTACCCCAATGTTCATAGCAGCACTCTCAACAATAGCTAAAACATGGAAAGAGCCTAAGTGTCCATCAACGGACGAATGGACCAAGAAGATGTGGTTTATCTATACCATGGAGTACTATATGGCAATGAGAAACAATGAAATCTGGCCATGTGTAGCAACGTGGATGGACCTTGAGGGTGCTATGCTGAGCGAAATAAGTCAGGCAGAGAAGGACAAATATCATATGTTTGAACGTATAGGAGGATTAGGAGGAACTTGACGGAGGAACAAGGGGGAGAAGAAGGGGGGAAATGGTGGGGGAAAGGGAGAGAGGCAAACCATGAGAGACTCTTGAATGCTGACAAAAACTGAGGACTGATGGATGTGGGGGGGAGGGGGGATGGGCATGGAGGAGGACACTTGTGGGGATGAGCACTGGGTGTTATGTGGAAACTAATTTGACAATAAACTATTTGTAAAAAAAAAAAAAAGAAAGAAAAGAAATGACATAATTAGTTTATTTCCCATTAAATTTTCAAGAGTTCTATGCAGTCAATTAATAACTTCAGTTACTTTGAGATTAATATATCCTTAATAGCACATGAAATTACACTGGGGTAAGAGAAAGACTGGAGATTTAAAATTTAAAAAGAGTTATTCAGATGCTTTGTCTTGGTTACCTTGACAAAGGTCAAGGACCAAGGTGTCTGCAAGAAATCCCATCAGTCCTCAGAATGAATTTTGTTACAACTGTTTAAATATATTTTTGTAATGAAATATGGTCATGAATATATATTTAAGGGGGAAGAATCTTCTCTGGAATGCTGAACTTGGATAAAAGTAGAGCTGAGTTTTTTTTTTAAGTTTATTTGAGAGAGACATAGGTAGCATGAGTGGGGGAGGGGCAGAGAGAAAGGGAGAATCCCAAGTGGACCCCAAGCTGCCAGTGCAGAGCCCTACTTGGGGCTCATACTCATGGAACTGTGAGATCATGACCTGAGCCGAAACCAAGAGTGGAATGCTTAACTGACTGAGCCCCACTCACGTGCCCTGAACTGAATTATATTTTTCCAGACCCATATTAGGGCTCAAAAGTATCATTATTCACACTTAATTTTAATTCACAAATAGGAGATGAAATGTTTTTCACGGAAGACATGTTCAAAACTCAGTTTTACCTTTCTATAAGGGTTTTAAGGGAAAGAAAATGAGATGGTAAAGAGCATTAAGATTTTTTAAAAAAATTTAATGTTTATTTATTTTTGAGAGACAGAGTGTGAGCAGGGGAGGGGCAGAGAGAGAGAGGGAAACACAGAATCTGAAGTAGCCTCCAGGCTCTGACTGCCAGCACAGAGCTCAATGTGGGCCTCAAACTCACAACTGTGAAATCATGACCTGAGCTGAAGTCAGACACTTAACCGACTGAACCACTTGAACCACCGAGGAGCTTTAAAAGATTTTTGAAACACTCAGTTTCATCTTAAAATGAGCTAAATATGTTATGAGTTTTATTTCCTACATAAGAACTGGTAAATACATGTTTATCTTTACTTGGTTACCATATAACAAGTATTACTAGGTACCAGATTTTGAAAGAAAAACTAGCCCAGTCTTAAGAGTTTTAATCTTTTCAGATGGGTGTTTAAATTCCTAATAAATATATATGCTTAATTCTTTAATAACTGTATACTGTATTACTCTATCACAAGGGTCATCAGTTATCCTATTTATTGACTATATTACTTATAAACTCAGGTAAAAAAGACAAGTGATGACTAACAACTGCATCGCAACACTGATGTGATACCCAAACTAAAGAAATGACACCCTTTGCTTCTCAATGTTTTGAATCAGATTTAAGTGCTGGGTCAGATGGTAAGGTGGGGAGGGAAACTTTCTTACCATATATGTAAAAGTTTTAACTAACTTCTTAATTTTACTGTTGCTGCTATTAAATATCGAGTAGGTAAAAGAGGACTTCTGTTGGTATGCATCAGATATAAAAAAATATATAACCACCACCCAGTTTAAAGCATGGCATGCTACCCTCTCTTTGAAGCCTCTCCATACATCTTCCCAAGTCCTTTCCATCTATCCCATCACCGACACCCACTATGCCAAATACTGCACTTATCTTTTCTTGCTTTCTCTTATGGTGTGTGTGACAGAGTGAGAGTGAGAGAACGTATATATTTTTCCTTTCTACTGAAGTCTCACATTTATACAGAAATGTGCACAAATCATAAATGTACAATTTGATAAAAGTTCACAAACTGGTCAAATGCACCTAATGGGCACTTAGTATCTCTCTATATAGAAACTTCCCTTGTGTTCTGCCTTCCAGCCATTCCAGCCAAGAAAACCACTATCCTTGGTTTTAAATACTATTAGTATAATTTTTTCCAAATTTGCATTCCCAAGTGGTATCTTGCTTAGGTACATTATAATGACAAACTTTTCCAAAGTGTTTTTACTAACTTGTATCTGGTATTCTAACACTGTGTACTGACAATTATTCTTTCTCTCCTCTCCTCTCCTCTCTCTCTCTCTCTCTTTTTTTTTTTAAAGTAGGCTTCACCCCCAGTGCAAAGTCCAACACAGGGCTTTAACTCACAACTGTGGGTTCAAGGCCAGAGCTGTGATCGAGTCATTCGCTTAACTGACTGAGCCTCCCAGGTGCCCCTATACTGGCAATTTCTAACGCAGAGTTTTCTACTCAGTCTAGTAAGGAGACAGGTACCTCAGTGGAGTTTCAATTTTCCTTTCTTCTACTTCTTTTTTTTTTAAATGTAAGCTCTATGCCCAAAGCGGGGTCCAGACTCACAACCCTAAGATCAAGAATCACATGCTCTCCCAACTAAGCCAGACAGGCACCAAATTTTCAGTTCTTGATGACTAATCTTGTTGAGCATTTTTCATGTTTATTGGTCATCTGTGTGTTTCTTATTTTGGAAAGTGTCTGATTAAATCTTCTAATCATATTACCTTTTACAACTATTCAAATACTATAAATGATACCCTATGTGAACCCTGCTTACTACATAAAACACCAAAGGTTTTATAGAAAAGTGTTAAATGCCATTCTTAGAATCATCATTTACCATGAAGAGATCATTATTACCTGCTCCTTAATGTCCTGTAACTGCTGTTGCAGCTTTTGCACATCTGCATTGACATTAGTATTATCCTTGTCCTTTTGTAACACAGGAATATTTCCACTTGCTATAATACAAATAAAATATTTTAATGTTATGACTGGACATGGCAATGATTTTTTTATTTCTAAAATTATTACTACATTATTAAAAACAACTATAATTCTCTTTAAAAATTTTTTCACTCATGGACAACAGATACAGTAGTGACATTCATGTTATACTCCTTCATTTATAGTCTTTGAAAAGAAACAGGTTTGCACATTATTTTCTAATTTTATTTAACTCAGCTAGACAACAAATTAGACACACACAGACTTTTGAGTTTTCCAAGGTTCTTTTACCTGCTTCCTTTGGCAAGCTCACAAACACATTCTATGCTTGTTTTCTCTGTTCCTGTATTTTACAAAGCCAAGAAAGGAAGCAGCATACCATGTTAGCCAGCTCTGGCAGCAGTAAATACATCTCTTGGATGATGTTTAGGAGAACACACAAAAACCTAGCCTCCTTCCTTTCTGCCCAACACTCCTTGTTACTGATTGGGCATGAGAACTCCATGAAAGAAAAGCTGTGATCGGTGGATCTACTAAGTGGAGAGTTTTTTGTTTTTTGTTTTCTTGAGAGATAGAGGGAGAGAACAAGTGGAGGAGGGGCAGAGGGAAAGAGAAAACTTAAGTAGGCTGCACGCCTAGTGTGGAGCCTGATGTGGGACTCAACCCTGCAACCTCAAGATCATGACCTGAGCCAAAATCAGGAGTTGGACCCCTAACCAAATGAGCTACCCAGGCGCTCCTGGAGGGAAATTTTTTATTGCACTTTTCCTACTCTTTAGATTTTTACTCTTTTACTCTAGTTATTTCGTTTCTGGGATTTTTATTTTGCTCTATTGATGATAAAGACAAAGAGCCCTGAGCAGAAGTGAGTACATTAATGTTCTTCCTCATGTGTACACAGAGCAAGGAAATCAAAGATACCATTCTAAGCTTCTATCTAGTGCAAAGATGAAAAATATTTTTATACAGCTGTAGTACTGAAAAGGTTAAAAGCAGGGGTGCCTGGGTGGCTCAATCAGTTGAGCTTCTTTCTGGCTCTTGGGTTCAGATCAGGTCATCATCTTGTAGTTTTGTGGATGTGAGCCTCACGTTGGGCTCTGTGCTGGCAGCATGGAGCCTACTTGGAATTCTCCCTCTTTCCGTCTCTCTCTGCCCCTACCCCACTTCCGCTGACTCTATCTTTCTCAAAACAAACAAATAAATAAACTTTTTAAAAAAAGAATAGGTTGAAAGTAAATAATTTTTCATCTCTCCACTTCTTTACTGAGTTACATTTCAGTTTATCTACAGTTACTCTGTCCCAACTAAATACTATTGTATAAAATGCTGAAAAGCGCTAGGTGAAATCTGCTACACAAAAAAAAAAGAGACGTTAACACTTGTATAACTGAAAAAGAATTGTAATACGCTGTTCTGCCAAGATACACTAAATTTAATCTTAAAAACAGCAAATTTTCTTTAAGCAAGAATACAATTTTCTATTATTCATACATAGAGGTTTCTTAAAAGACAAATGCTTAAAGTTCTATAATCATACTGCAAGCTAGAAAAACATAATTTCAAGCTTCCTGTAACAAGAACAAAACTCCGCCTGTTCCTCTGTAGATTGAGGTCACACACCTTGTGCTTTACAAGCCAACGTTCTGCTACACGAGAAGAGATGTTCATGAAAGTCCAACAAGAAAGCAAAGTAAGAAAAATATACTTACAGATGTCATCAGTGGCATCTTCTGAATTCTTCCCTCCACAACACATAATGAAAGGCACTCTTCGTTCAACTACCGCCCGGCATTGCACACACTTCTTCATCAGGCTAGCACAGTCTGCAAAATAGCAATAGGATACTTCTTACAAGAGGGAACATGATAAGACTGTTGGCCTTTTTCTGCTCATTTTTAAATTTCACACTAAGATAAGCATTAAACAAGTTCTATGAATACATAAGTCTACCTTTTAAAAATGTTATCGACTTATGAATGTATACTCTCTATAGGCAGCCTCTAGAAGAAAGTGCTCCTTGTCATGAAAATGATGACATTTTCTAATAATATATTAGAATAAATTGTCAAAGTGGTTTTTCTGGGTTTTTAAATTTTTAGTTTTTGAGAGAGACAGGGCCCACGTATGATCAGGGGAGGGGGAGGGAGGGAAGGGGGGGAGAGGGAGGGGGAGAGAGAGAGAGAGTCAGTCCCAACAGGCTCTGCACTGTCAGAATCCCAACGTAGGGCCGAAATCAAGAGTCAGACAGATGCTCAACAGACTGAGCCACACAGGCACCCTCACTTTTTTTCTTAATAAAAAATACTTCAAGAGCCTAAGTCTTGAGAATAAAGATGGGAGATGCTTTTTATAAAGTTTAACTAGTACAGAATTATAAGGTTGCTCACATAATTTCCTAAATGTACTTTCTATTGTAAGCAGCTTGTCTCTAAAATTCCTAAAATATGTTCAACAATTGTCTTCCTTCTCTATCAAACTGATGTCATCTAATAAGTTATTGTTTAGTAACTACTTGTTTAATATAGTAGTCAGGAAAATATAAAAGATGTATCATAATGGACTCTCTAATGTTATGTATCAGAAGAATGCTCTCCCATCCCAAGAGGAAATACCTAGGCACAATGATAGGTTGTGGTTTGTTAATTGTACATCTAAAGTATTAACTAATTACAAAATAACATACAGCAACATATCCTTTCCCATTAGCATGTATTATGAAAGTATACTCCATATCTTAGTTTATATACCAAGTGTCTTTATTATTTCAAAAACGGGAAAAAAACCCACAAAAACTGTGACAAGTATCCAGGGATAATTTATGTCAAGACACTAAACTTTAACAAAGCACAAAACCACTGACGTAGATAAGTTGGGGCACATGTTCCTAGCAGTGCTTGCGCTGGTGGACAGAGAAGGATTATCAAGATCGATCTCATGTCAAGTACCAGACAGAACTGGGTCTGATGCTGGCCTATGCACGATGCACTAGGTAGGAGCAAATGCTAATAGAAATCTGGTTTGGGATTTGACTTCAATCTGAGAGATTTTTTTCCTTACATTTGGTGGATTAATCTAATTAATTGATTAGATATATAAGGCAATTATTTCAAATTCTTTTAAGTTAAATTGTTACATAGTTTCTATAAAATCTTTCTTACTTCCCCCCAAAATGGATATAATCTCTCCTTCCTCTGGCCTGTCAAAACATTTTACACTCTTCAAGGCTTCAATAAATACTCTGTTTAACATTACCCAGATATAGGTAATGGACTGCTTCACCATTCCTTGAAAGGGGCATTTCCCACCTTAACTTCATCTTCCCTTGTAAATAAATGTTTGACAATTTGTCTGTAAAATGGAGAAAATAATCTACTTCTTAGGGTTGTTGTGAAGATAAATGAGGAAATATTCTAAAAGAAAATAAAATGCCTGGTACCAGTTAAGAGCTTAATAAAAGTTAGCTGTTATACTTGTTACATTTGAATACAAAGACAATGTAAAAACGTTGGGAAACTCCTGGGGAAAACACCACAATAAGGCTTGAGAATCTATATTATCAACTATTAATTATAACCAGCTTTCAAGTCTCTGTAGGTATCACTTTAGTCTTTGACATGGGTCAGTAAACTATAGCCTAGAGGCCAAACCCAACCAGGTGCCTGTTTTTATAAATAAAATTTTAGTGAACAGTCCCGCCTGTTCATTCACATGCTGTCTACAGTTGTTTCTGCACTACAATGGCAAAGTTGAGTTAGTCAGAAAGAGATAAGTACTTACTACAGAAATCATGTGTGGCCCATAGAGTCAAAAATATTATTTCACCCTTTACAGAAAAAGTTTGCTAGCCAAGAGACTATGAAAACTTATGTAACCTGAGCTCCTTTTACTTAAGACATTTGAAATCTCTTTCCACAAGCCCTCTGACAGTTGATAACAGCGATTATACTAATCTTTGGAAAACAAAAACAATTACTTTAGGCAGAATATTTTAGGAGGAAACCTTGATCCTCTATTTAGTTAATGAGCTGTCTGTCAGAATGAAAAAAACCAAGGCTTAAAGCAAATCTATGCCAACAAAATTAATCTATCATACAATCTGTGTATTACTTAGATATTATATTGAAAATCAATACCTATTGACTAAACTATTTTATAATAGGAAACACCATGTTTTACTTTGAGCCCATTTAAGTAAGGTATGTAAGTTGTTAAACTTTTTTAAAACCTTTCACTCACCAATGAAAGCAGCAAAGGGAAAAGGAGAATGTTGAACAGTGCATGAATTTGAAAAGAACAAGAGGGGTATATAAAAAGGAAAGGCCTCTGAGAGAATATGTATAAGAGATATTTTAAAACATCACAAACTTTCAATATAACCTCCCAAACAGTTCTACAAGCTCTTTTAACATAAAGACTAAGAAAGGTTAAGAAAGCCAGACAGTATAGCCCCAAATAGTTGCTGTGGATGACTCAGTAGTGGGGGTAAAGGTATGCAGGAGAGGCAATATTAAGGTGAAGACAAATGAAGATATACTAATTTTATATGTGAAAAGGGCTAGACTAAATGTTTCAAAATAAATTTCCATTGTGTGTGATAAAAGATCATTTTGCGCTGACACAAATGAAATAAAAAGGAGCTGATAGAACATAGCCTATTCTGCCTTCTCTAATCTCAGCAGCAAGGAGGGGCAAAGGTGACATTTTATATAGTACAGAGGAAGACATGGAAGGTACTAGAAAGGTTGACCAGTTTTTGTTAATGGCTTATTAAAAAAAAAACACCCCAAAGCTATAATTTGTTTCATTTTCTATTTCTATAAAAACACTGAGGAAGTTCTGTATAGGCTACTTACTCTCACAAGCACACATGTGTCCACAAGGCTGAAAAAGAACAGCTGCTTTCTTGTCAGAACATACCACACATTCTTCAATCTACAAAAAAGAGGTTACAGCACAAGTGTGAACATCTACAGATAAATCCAGTAACTCTAATAGTTCCTTTTGTATCCAAGTGTATTTCCTCTATAAGGAAACACTCTCAGCACAGTGAAACTTCATACACTTTATTTCTCTGTCCTTGACTCTCTGGGTTACTAATTTTTTCACCTTTATAAACCCTGGCCCTTCACAGGTTAGTCTTCCTACCCATCCCAAAGAATGATAAAAAAAACTCCACTTACTCTGTGGTCAGAAAGACCAGAATTGACTTCAATTTTCTTTTATTCAAAAACTACTTTGAGAGAAAAATAAAAAGAACAGATAAAGAAGTATAAAAGTAAATCTAAAATAAGCTAGATTTCTAATATTAATAAAAATCCAGCCAGATTAGCAGACTAGACTGCTAGAGCCCAAGAGGAATTTTTCTATTTATCCATATCTAAGGAAATAAACCCAACACATCCTTTTCTGGGACCTGGTCAGTTCCCCCATGCCAGTGGGAGCCGATGGCTATAACCTGTTCTTTCTCCCTAGTCTCTAAAAGTATAGCTCCTCCACTATCTATTCATAACATCACTTAACTGTATCTCCTCTTTGTCTCCACTTCATCTGAATTTTGGGTGTGTAACTATTTCTCAACCTTGGCTCTAGTTTTTTTTCACCCCCATCCCACCACACCTTGCATGTTTCTTCTATTCTCCTCCCTTTGACACACATTCACATTTAGCCATATCTTGTGCCATTTAATATTACTGTCCCAAAATGATGACCACCACTCACCTATAATTTCACCTAACTAACCAAATATTGCATATGATCTCTCTACGGCTATTCCCAACTTATACCTTGCTATGCATATAGAATTTCTGTAGTTGAACAACAGGGGAAAGCAGTAAGACATGGCTGGTTGGGACCTTTATATTTCTGGATTCAACTTCCAGTCCCAATAAGAACAAATCACCTAACACTGTTGAGCCACAACTTTTTTATTTTTATTTTTTTTATCTAAATGATAAAGAAAAACCCTTCTTCACAGGGTGGGAAAGAGTAAATATTATGTATGGACTGTTTAGTTAAAAAAAATCTTTGTAGTCTTAACAATTTTCCCTTTTGGATTTCTTCCTCAGTTTATATTCGCAAGAATTAAATTACTAAATCAACACATGTTTATTGTAAAGGTTCATAAATATTGTCAGGATGGTCTCTCAAAAACATAAACCCATTTATTCAACCTCCAGCAGTGTTTAAGAGAGTGTCCATTCTCCACCGTCCAGGCTAACATTTTTAAAATTTTATTTATGCTAATTTGATAGGAATCATTAATGGTAATTCATAATTTTTATTATTTCCTTAATTGCAAAGGAGATAAAGCTTATTTATTTCCCCTTCCTCCAAATATCAGTTTTATAATTTGTTTTATCTTTAATGAAGACATTCATTACCCTTTAACCACTTGGGGTCACTATTTCTTTATATTCAAAGGTCTGCAGCCAACCTGGCAATCTGTTTGTTGGGTGTGTTACTTTTTGTACTTTTCTACAGGTTTGAAAATTTCATAATTTGAAAGTCAAACTGAAAGCCTGCTAATTTTCAGAATTCAGTAATGGTCTAAAAAGGAACGTCAGCATATTCCTCCCGCTCTCCCTCCCTGCTCCATCGGCCTTCCCTCTGTAGGCACTCTTGTCTGTGTGTTGTCACACAGGGGAAAGAACAGGGACTTAAGAATCATGAGGCCTGCATTTGATTCTCTGAGTACACTTCTTTGAGCTTCAATTTTTCCAACTGAATCCTAGAGTTAGACAGCCAGTAAGGATTATTCAGTATCTGAGACTCTGCTTCTGGCAACCTGGGGCTCTGAACTCACTTTAATGCTCTCTCAAAGCACCTACAACATCCTACATGGCAGAGTAAATTTAAACTAAGTTTACCAGCACATTGCCAGTTTTTAGCAGCTAATTACCATACACATCTCTGTCTTGACTACAAAACAAGTGCTCAATAAAGATTTGTTAAAATAAGGCTTAATCTAACACAAAAAGTTTCAGGCCCAACAACAGAATGCATGGATGAATCTAAAGATTAAGAGAATAGCTTAAATTTTTACCCTTTCAGAGTCTTCCGAAACTAAACTGTTGCTTAGTGAGCAGGTTAAAGCAAATTATACATACCAAGTAGAATGATTCGCATTAATTTATTAAGGGATGACCTAGATATAATGCATATAAAATGCCAACACGGTGCCTGCAGATAGTTAAGTGCTGTTAGTTCATCCTTCCCACCTTTACAAAGAGACTAAACAGCTATACACACATTACTACTCCAGAATCTTCCATCCAAAAATAACTTCCTTGTACTTTTCCTGTGCCAACAATTTTACCGAAGATTTATTCATTTGGATCATAGAAAACACCTAGTCTTAGAAGGTTCCCTATGAAAATGTACAAAGCACCGGCAAGGTTAACACCTTTTAAGTCATTGCCAGCTAATTCATTATAAGAATTAGTGCCAACTCCTTTCTAATTAAGGAAGGTTAATGAATAGCTTAAGAAGCATTAAGGGAAAAATGAAGAGATAAAAAGAAGGAAATAAAAAAAAGAGTATAAGCTTTATAAATGAAACCAAAGAAAACTACTTCACCTTAAAAGAAATCATTTGTAAAAAACTTAAATCTTACTTTAATACACACACATGGAAAAACTAATAAGGAAAACCAATTATTTCAGTACAACCAAAATGGGTAAGACAATACAGTTATGATACAGTACTAAGTTACACAGAAAAAGAATGAAACCAGAAAACCCAGAAAAGAATAATACTTCTCAAAAAGTAGAGTCAGACAAGATAAAAAGTTCAGAGTGGGTACAGAATTTGGCCTTCACTGACAGCAAGATGACTGGCTTTATTTGCCTCTTGGTGGGACACAATAAATACAAAGTGAGTAGCACCATCTATGAGAATTTCTTGCCAAAAATGTTTAAGCTGACTGTAATCAAGCTGTTAGATCTAACTTCCAGTTAACAGGAAACACAGAAGATAAAGAAACAAATTAAACAACATTGTGATAAAACAATCAAACAAATCCGGCACGTGTGACATTCTACAACATAAAAATCAACTAGTCTTTTATGAAGATGAATACAAGAGAGTCCATGTACTCAAAAAAGGTGCAATATATAATAACTACAATAAAAAATGGGATTAAATATAGCTTTAGGTTATAAAGGACTTTAAAAGCAAAATAATGGATTAACTTTTAATATCTACAGTTTCTACATATAAAGAAGGAAACCCAAAATCATTTTCTTAATAATATATAATTTATACATTCTTAAATTTAAATTATTTTTTCTTAATGTTTATTTTTAAGAAAGAGAAAGACAGAGCAAAAGTAGGGAAGGAGCAGAGAGAGAGGGAGACACAGAACCTGAAGCAGGCTCCAGGCTCTGAGCTATCAGCACAGAGCCTGATGTGGGGCTCAAACCCACAAATCATGAGATCATGACCTGAGCCAAAGTTAAAACCCTTAACCTACTGAGCCACCCAGGCACCCAAAAGAAAGAACAAAGTTTAACAGACTTATGGCATCATATAATGTTATCATTATTTATAATCTCAAAGGACTTCATAAAATGATAAAATACTGTTTTAAAAATATATTACCTTTGTCCTTGACTGAACTTGCTCTTTACAGATGAGGCATTTCTTGACTCGTGGAGAACATAAAGAACAGGTAGCAATATGTCCACATGGGCCAAAAAGAGTATCTCTCTTCATATCTGAGCACACCATGCACTCTTCTAAGGTTTCAGAATCATTACTAATCATGGAAGGACTTCGAGAACCCACTTGGCCACTAATAAAAGAAAATATTTCTAATCAATATTATCAGAATATTTATATTACAACTTCATTAAAATATTTTTAAAACATCTAGAGCATCATTTGCATACATAAAAACAGCATTAGCTATGTTAAAAAAATTAAGCTTTAACATCTGTATATGAAACACTGTATATCAAATTTTCCCATTTATATATACATCTCTGCATCTTTACATACTTCTATTTAAATTTCAAATTGAACAATTAGCTCACCCAATGGAAAAGGGTGAATCTTCTTCTAACAAAGAAATACAAAACACTACTTAGAAAAAATTTAACATAAACAGTTTCACTCAGAATCTGTTATCTATAGAGAACGGCATAGGAATAAAACAAAAATTCTAGCTAGAGCCCAAGTTAGTTATCCTAACTACAGACAGAATGAAGCATCATCAGAGTCCACAACTGACAGGGCACTGTGGAAAATACGTCACTGCAGCTGCTGTTTTGACATTTCTTTAAATGTATCCTTAAGAGGCTTAAAATTCTATTATGGAAAAACAGAACACATCTATAAATATATAGATACAAGACACAGAAATACATATATATGACCGAACTATAGCTATACAAATGGGATACTCTGTTTCTACCACAACCTTCAGAAACTCATAGACAGACAGACAGACAGACAGACAGACACACACACACACACACACACAATGGTTTCATCTTAGACCCCAGCATTAAAGTTATTACTGCAGGAATTATCATGCTTTATATCTATATTTTTAAGCATACTCTGTCATGCTGTAATAGAATTTTATGTTCCTTAAGGATACACTTAAAGAAATGTATATACCTCATATGAATTTCCCCATAACACAGGTCTACGTATAGATTCCAAAGAGATGTCATTTCATCTCCACACCCAAATTACAAGACAACACAAAGATCAAGAGAAAACTACCAAAATGTTCAATGACCAGAACTAGGTATAAAGGGCAGTAATAGTTGTACAGCATTGTTGAGATTCAAAAAGGAACAAAATATACATACCTCTTTATATGTCTATAATATTTCACAAGAAATGCAACTGTGTTATAAATAATTAAAATTACTGACATATTTTACTTTTAGAAAAAAGAAAGGCACATGTGAAATCATTTTTAGAGAAAACTCCATCAGGAATTAGTTCCTTCATGTGTTCATTCTTTCAGTCCTTCAATGATACTTAGTGAGTGAATGCCTGTCAGGCACTGAACAGGGTGCTAGAATTATTACAGACTTTGTATGAGATATACTTACTGGTGAGCATGTACACCGCCTCTCTTTAAAAAGGTCTACTGAGTGCCTGCATGGCTCAGCTAATTACGTGTCTGACTCTTGATTTCGGCTCGGTCATGATCTCATGATTTGTGGGTTCGAGCCCCACACTGGGCTCTGCACTGACAGCACAGAGCCTGCTTGGGATTCTGTCTCCCTCTTTCTCTTCCCCTCCCCCTTGCTTGCTCTCTCTCTCTCAAAATAAATAAACATTTTTTTTAAACGTCTATTATAATTTTAGATACATCTAACATTAATGACAGCAATTTCACTAGTACGACTTCTTATAAATGAATTCCTCTAATGTGTAGGAGTACTGGAAGATCAGACTGGTTTAGAAAAGTTTCTTAGCATTTATTATGCATAAAGCATTCATATTTAGTAATGTAGAATATAAAACACTAAATAAGAGACATAGTGTCTGCAGGAAAATTTTTAAGGAAGAAAGTGTCAATACAAAGAAGATGAGCAAAGACAGTTTCAAGTAATCAAGTCCTCCATTATGAAACCACATGGCATTTTATATATAAAACACTAAGTTTATGATACAAACCTGACTTTTTCCTTATGACACTTTGCCAGTGCTTTGCAGAGACTTGGATCAGGACAGAGATCAAGTGGTGATTGACCTTTCTTATTTCGAATGCTAAGGTCAGCGCCATTGGCAGCCAAAAAACAGGCAATAGATGCTGCACTCTTCTTCTCTGCCCCCTGGGTACCAAGTCCCATTATTAACTGAAATCAAATGAAAAGAGTCATTATTTTCCCTTTAAGAATCTGTTATCAGTTCTCACCCCAAATGTGTGTGTGCAGGTCTGCGTGTAATTATATAAAAATGTCTGGAAAGAACTCACAGCCTACATAGATACGGTGGGCATTTCTGAGCTGCAGTCCTAACACCTATTCCCCCATCACTCCAGTTTTCTCAGGAATATAGTTTGAGGAATGATCCACTCTCTAGTTTTACAGGTGGACCAAAGAAGGCCGAGACCAGACCCCTTCATCTAGGTGATTAGTTCAGGGATGACAGATCAATTAAGGTCAATAAAACTCAAGACGAGGACTTTTGATTTAAGATACTGAGGAAACAGTACTCTCTTTTCTACTCAGTTTAGCTCTGGAGCTGTTAGCAACTGACATGAAACAGTAAGAGGAGAGACAACAGAGAAAAGAACCAACACCAAGGAACTAAGCCAAGAAATGGAGAAGGCGATCAGTCTGGCTCTGATTTCATCTGAGTTACTGATTCAAACATGTTATCAAACATCTGTAGAGCATCTATAACAGACCAAGTACTATTTTTAGCACTTCCCATGAATTAACTCATTTAATCTTTGTAACAACCTTATTATGGAGGTAATTATTCCACTCCCTCCTTTTTAAAATGAGAAAAAGGAGGTACAGAGAGATTAGAGAATTTAGCTATGGTCATAGAGAAAGGTGGCATTTCTAAAAAACTTTGGTCTCAGACCTCCTTTGCAGTCTTAAAAATGATTCTAAAACTCATAGGGAATGGTAAAAGACTTAGAGAATAATCAAACAACCTTGAAAAAGAAGAAAAAAGTTGGAGGACTTCTACCACCTGAGCTGAATGTTTACTATAAAGCTACAGTAACTGAGACAATAGGGTTGGCATCACATAGCTAAAGACACAGATCAACAGAACAGAATGCAGGATCTAGAAAGACTTCACATATATGGTTAATTAATTTGGGACAAATGCATAACAGGCAATTCAGTAGAAAAAGACAGTCTTTTCAACAAATGGTGGTGGAATAACTGGACCATCTACAAGGAAAAAAATGAACTTTGATCCCTATCTAATATTATATATAAAAATTAACTCAAAATGAATGGTAGTGCTAAATGTATCAGCTGAAATGTTACAAACTTCTAGTCCAAAAGTGGAGAAAACCTTGCTGTCCTTGGGTTTGGCAAAGATTTTTCAGACAAGACACAACACAAAAAGCACAAACAATGACAGAAAAATTTATAAATTAGACCTCATCAAAACTGAGAACTTCTGCTCTTCCAAAAACACTATTAAAAGAATGAAAAGACAAGCCACACACTGGGAGGTAATATGTGCAAATCCCATAACTGATATAGAACTTGAATTCAGACTCTCAAAACGCAATAGTAACAAAACGGCTCAACAAAACAAGGCACAAAAAAATGGGAAAAAACACTTCATCAAATATATGTGAGTAACAAGCAAATGAAAAGATGTTCAATATCAGGCAGTAGTCATTAGGGAAATGCAAATCAAAATCCCAACATACCACTACACATTCACATGAATGGCTAAAGTTAAAAAAGAAGAGCCAAACAACTTTCAGTAAGAACTTGAAGCAATGTAGTTAGAATTAACTATTGTTGAGTTCATATACTATATTTCTACATATGCAGTTCTGATAAAATAATTTATCAGACACATATTAAATTAGCCATAAATTTAAGATCTTGCATTAAAAGATACTTCCAAAAAAACAAAGACTCTTCCAGTAGTACGGAATTAAGATTAATATACTCACTGTGTTTTTGGAGGGCTCCCATGCAGCATCAACCTTCCCCACATCTTGCATATCTTGGAGTTGACGTAGCTGAGACAAGGTATGATGCCTCAGAGCTTCGTGCAAAGGAGTATCCCCATCTTTATCCTGAATATCTAATTTGGCACCAGCACGGACCAAAAGCTAAAAGAGAAAGACATCTCATTTGCTAAGGTCTCTCTGGTCCACAAGAAATTACAACATATGTAAAGTAACAGTGACAGAGACCTGGACCTACCTGAAGGGGTTTGCCACTAAAGCCAATTATTTTTATATATTCACTTGCTACTCTCAAAACTCCTATGGCTCCTTTACAAATAGTGATGAGCTCTGGTTACTCAAATATATTGCATCAGAGAAAACAAAGAAATGAGAACCAATTCACAGACTCCAAGATCAAGATTAACTAGGAGAAATTTAGGACATTTTTTCTCCTTTCCTTCCTTCCTGCCTACTCCTTCCTTCTTCCTTTCAGATTTTATTTTTTAAAGTACTCTTTACACCCAATGTGGGGCTCAAACTTACAACCCCACGATCAACAGTCATATGCTTCTACCAACTGAGCCAACCAGGCATCCCTTTTTTCTCCTTTTAATTTCAGATATGTGAGTTGGGATATTTTAAGTATTTCTAATAGGACCATTCAAAATTCTATTGCTTAAAGAAAGAGCAAGCTATTTATTCCCTTCTCGTTGGTCAATTTTCTCCAAATGTATAGTCATAAGGAAAGTCCAAAAATATCACACATAAATGAAGAATGTTTAGTAAGAGGATTTTTAAATAACAATAAATGTGAAGTGATGCTAAACTATAACCTCTGATATAAACTGATATACTTCAATAGATGTTTTAAGTAGTAAATATAACTTTGTATTTAAGTCTTTGCTTATGGTTCTTTAAAAGTTTTCCTAATTCTTTCTACAAATGCTGTCAGAGTTTTAGAAAAACACCATAAGCCAATCTCAAGCATGGTCTTACCTAAGTCTTAGCAAATTGCTGTTTTTTGGGGTGTGTGTGTGTGTGTGTGTGTGTGTGTGTGTGTGTTTTAATTTGTCCCCAGAAATTTACATAAGATGTCACTCTAGGACAGTGTTTCTCAAATCTGAACATGCATGAGAATTACCTCGAGGACTTGTTAAAGCACAGAATGCTAGTTCCCACCCCTGGAGGTTCTGATTTGCTTGGTCTGAGTTGGGCCCAAGAATTTTCTACCAAGGTCCCAGGTGATGCTGATGCTGCTGGCTCAGCTTCTAAACTTTAAGAATCACTGCTCTACAAAAAAATTTTAAACTGATAATCTTTCAAATATTTTGCCTGTGATATCAGATTAGTCATAGTAAAATATATATTTCAGCTTTTGTCTGGCTGATATTTCAGTTTTTTGGAATCTGTGCGGCAAACATCCAGCCTGAGATTTTAATTATAGTTCACTCTCAATTATACAAATTAAGAGGGAATGCACTTTAATTAATATTTTATTTTATTTTATTTTATTTTATTTTATTTTATTTTAGAGAGAGAGAGTGAGCAGGGGAGAGGGGCAGGAGGAAGGAGGGAGAGAGAGAGGGAGAGAGAGAGAACCTCAAGTAGGCTCCACACTGGGTGTGGACATGGGATCCCACACCCTGGGATCATGACCTTAGCCAAAATCAAGAGTCTGACACTCAACCAACTGAGCCATCCAGGAGCCCCAGAATGTACTTTTTAAAAAGTAATTTGTATGTTACTTTGAAATTTTCTGATTTAATATTTTGGGAAATCACAAGTCTGGCAACAAAATTATGTAACAGACTTTGAATATCACAGTTTTAAGATTTTCCCCATTATAAATTAAAACTCTTTGCCCAATATTAGCCTAAAATCATGATTTGTACATCTAGCTATGTATAATTTTCAAGACCTTCAAGAAATCGGTCTGGTTAAAACACACCTGTAAGGTAAGATTCTTGTTAGTAAATACTTTACCCTCACAATCTGGGTGTGCTGTCGTTCAACAGCAAGGTGGAGGGCAGTCTGTTGGTTCACATTCTGGATATCGAGGTTCGCATTACCCTGAACAAGAAGAACAAAGCTTACACACTCAACATTTGCAATCATGAACAACACTAAAACTACAACTCCTCGTAAGGAATAAGTAACACAAAACGCTGCTAACCACTTTCCTCTCATCTAGCCACTGCAAACATTGTTCTCATAACAGTTGCTGGTAATACAGGAAGACTGGATGGGGCAGCATCTTTCTGAGACAGAACAGCAGGCTTACAATAATTATTTTTATTATGGTGACTCCATCCAGAAACAGTAAAATAACACAGTTCAGTACAATGCTCAAACACAGCTCCTTCTCAATCTCCATTATACACCAGTAGAGATAATTAGCTCCTTTTAACTGTAAATAATATTTCCTAAAAAGTTCTATTAATGACACTTCATATTGGATTTAGATTTACTTTAATGACCTAATAAGGTCATGTATCATTGCTGCATAACTGAGCTCTTATTCAGTGAAAAGGAACTCCGCTTGAGGATGAGAAGACAATGTTTAATTAGTATATAAAAATACTTATTAAAGGGAAAGCAGAAAGTCCTACCAGGGTCCTGGGATAGCCAAAGCAGTATATGAGAACAGCTGATGCCAAGGCCAGAGGAAAGGAGCAAAAATCCTGAACTTACTAGCACTAGGGGACCTAGAGCTTCGTGAACTTAAGCAAGCATTCTGACATTTCACGCTCATTTCCTTAGCTGTAACATGGTGATTGTACAACCTATTACACAGGGTCAATGGGACGATGGGGTTCAGGGTGAGCTGCACCTAAATAATCCCACTTTGGCATACTGATTATTCTGAATTAAAGTTACTTAAATGGCTCGCACAAGGACACTCAGACCTTCCTTTGTCTCCCTGAAAGCAAGAAATAAATTTCCCATGTGAAGGCTATGGTCCTTGGCCCTGGAAGGTAGAAGGCATCCTTATAGTCAGAGATCGGGAATTAAGGGCCAAGAATTGACGATATAAATAAACTTTGTTACTTCATTTATTTACTTGCTTCCACAAACCCCTTTGTGAATTCTCCACAAGTAATTGTTTAAAAGGTATAAAAGCTGATGGCTTTGGTCACTTAGGAGAGTCTCATATTTATCTGAGCTCCCATGTATACAAAATTAAACATGTTTTTTTCCTGTTGTTATGTCTCATGTCAGTTTAATTATTAGACTGGCCAAAGAAACTAGAAGAAAGGAAAATTTTTCTTTCCCTCCAGTAAGGATTATGAAAAATAACATGTAAAACTGCCTAACACAATGTCTTATATAATAATAATTTTAAAAATGAAACTAAGAAAATGGCTACAGATGCAAAAGATAAACTTTATCATTCTGTTTATATCTTAGAACCATTCAAGCCCTCTGATTACAACTCTGAAATCCACCTGTGCCCTTGTTTGGGGTATCAGGTAGAGCTCAAACTCTAGTAATGCTATGACATTCTAGAAGACGAGACTTTCTGATTTGTTTTTATTAGTTATGTTTCTCTGAGTGTAATCATGAGGAACTTGATCTCAGCTTTTCTTATCTTGCCTTGTTCTCATATAAATGTAGAAAGTGAGGGATTTTCTTTTTTTCAAGTTTACTAAATTTTTCCATCATTAGATTTTCCTAGTATTCATCCATATTTGTTGTATAAATGTACCATAAATCATTTATCTAGACACTAGTTGATGAACACTTGGCTTGCTTCCAGTTAGAGGTTATTACAAATAAAGCTGCTAAAAATGTTTAGTACAAGTATTTGCATGGAAATGTGTCCTGAGTTCTCTTGGGTACATACCTACAAGAGGGATTGCTGGGTTGTATAGTGAATATATGTTTAGCCATATTAAAAACTGCCAAATTGTTTTCAAAGTGGCTGCTTTGGAAAACACCAGCAATGTATGTGAATTCTAACTGCTCCACATCCTAAACAACATTTGGTTTTATTGGCATTTTTAAATTTTAGTCATTTTCATTGGTGATCAGTATTTCATTGTGGTCGCAATTTCTAATCCCCTAATAATCTATGGTAATTGAAGCAAAATCACAGAATATATGGTCCATGTACAAAAAATACTTGTATTTCTGTATATTTGCAATATACAATTAGAAACTGAAATTTTAAACAATATAATTTATAATAGCATGAAAAAAACTACTTAAAATCTAAAACAAAAAGCTAAATCTAAAATGCGCAGAGCAAACAAAATGCCACGACTTTTTAATAGAAACTAACAATCCAATTCTAAAATTTATATGGAAATTCAAAAGTAACTCTAAGAAAGAACAAAGTTAGATGGTTAACTTTAACTAATTTTAATACTTACTAAAAAACAACAATTACCAAGACAGTGTGATATGGTCAGTTATCTGTATTTTGGATTGAAAAGGAAATTATCACAATTAACAATAATTTTATGAGCAGTAACTTTAATATTTAATAATAAAGGCTTACTAGTCAATGGTATTGTAATAGCACCATACAGTGACAGATGGGAGCTACACTTGTGGTGAACATAGCACAAAAACAGCATTCAAATTGTCAAACTATTATGTTGTGTACCTAAAACTAAGGCAACACTGAGTTTCCACTATACTTCAAAAAATAATAATAAAGGCTTAAGATGGCAACTATTTCTTTATCACAACATCTATAGTTCATGTAGTGTCTTCTATCTTATGATCTAGTACTTAATTACATACAATGAACTATTTACTAAATTTTTCTGCTATTTCATCTTCTTAACTAGACTGTAAGCTCCTTGAAGTCAGAGATCATAAATAATTCTTTGGTAACTTCAGTGCTTCTACATGGCATATGCTTGACTGAGATATTTAAAAATTTTGCTGGAAAAGCTAAAATATCATAAAACTACACTAACTAAATTTCCCCAAAAATCCAATAACAAAAGAATATAGCATTATCTTATTTCAGAGATGAATGGAATGACTGAAGTTAACCTGTACTGCTATCCAGTCAAATTCCAGGAATCCCACAGGAGTCATGAACCAAATCCCCAGATCCTGGCTAAAGTCTTGCTACTGGATGTCAACTGTCCACACCAGCTTAAATATCAACATGATGGTTCTTGGTCCTATGGCCTGGTCCTTATACAACTATTTATACAGTGGTAGTGATCCTGGGAAATCTCTGTTCATTAATACCTATTTCCTTGGACTGATCCAGAACACTGTGGGACAGAATACAAGGGGCTAAAGGATTCCCTCCCAGCCCCTTACACACTTACACACCACTTCCCGCCATTTAAGAACCAGTGTTAGAAGAATGAAAATGCACCATATCTGAATTTGCATCATCATGGGGTTTTATTATAACATACCAAGAGGTAGCTGATGAAGTAATAAGTACATGAAAGGCAATGGTCCAAAGTTTTCAAAAATTATTGCACAGCTTCTCCTACCTGATGTACCAACAGTTCAGCCACTTCTACATGATTGTTAAGGGCAGCCAGATGCAAAGCAGTATAACCATCATCTTTCTTCTCATCCACAATCCATGGTCTTGGTAATTTAGATAGTAAAACACGCATTGCACTGAAAGTCAAATTTACATGATGTGATATACAATTTGATATTTAAATTATTTTCTTTAAAAAATTATTCAAAAGAAACTTGAAACCAAATAAAAGCATTCTTCCTTGATGAAAACTATGCCCTCAGAGACAAATGAAATATATTTTTTTCTAAATCTCAAATATGCAGCTTTTTCATTCTTTAAGAGGTAAAGAAACTATAACTATTTGGGGAACAGAATCAAAATAGAATGGGAGTGTTACGAGGGGAAAATATTATAAGAGGGGAAAAAAAAAACCCAAAGGGAAAAGAAATATATCCAGATAAGGACATATTTATGGTTTTATGCAAACTCGTAGGTTCAATTTGAATAGTATCTATTAACGAAATAGTTAAAGAACAGCCAGATAACAACAACAAAGTAGGAATAACTGTACTAAAAAGACAAACTTCATGTAACTGGCAGATTATTGTGAACTGCAGCTAAAAATCTGGTATATGGCATTTAACAGTGCTAAATCTAGTTATATCAAAAATCAGAAAATAGATATTATAACTTAATAATTAAAATTTAAGTATCAATAACAAAATATTTCTAGAGCAAAAAAGACAGTTATCCTAAAGACCATCAAAGGGTAAAATATTAAAGAGCGGAAGTAATTATTGAGAAGTGATGCTTCTTCATAAACTATTGAGAGAAGCACCTGGGTGGCTTAGTCAGTTAAGTATCTGACTCCTGATTTTGGCTCAGGTCATGATCTTGCGGTTCCTGAGTTCGAGCCGACATCAGGCTCCACACTGACAGCATGGAGCCTGCTTGGGATTCTCTTTGCCCCTCCCCCACTCCCCCACTCAAATGCACACTTACACATGCACTCTCTCTCTCAAAAATAAACTTCAAAAAAAAAGTATAAAATATTAAACTATTTGGATCACATTAAAATAAAAAGGTTTTGCACAGCAAAGGGAACCATCAACAGAACAAAAGGGCAACTGACTCAATGGGAGAAGATACTTGCAAATGATAGTATTGGATGAGGGGCTAATATCCAAAATATGCAAAGAATTTACACAACTAAACACCAAAAAACCCACAACAATTCAATTAAAAAATGGGCAGAGGAACTGAGTAGATATTTTTCCAAAGAAGACATAGAGGTGGCCAACAGACACATGAAAAGATACTCAATATCACTAATCATCAGGGATATGTAAATCAAAACCACAATGAGAAATCACTTTATACCTGTCAGAATGGCTAAAATCAGAGATAAGAAATAGTGTGTTAGCAAGGAGGTAGAGGAAGAGGAACCCTACTGTATTGCTAGTGGAAATATAAATTGGTACAACCACTGTAGAAAACAGTTTGGAGGTTCCTCAAAAAACTAAAACTAAAAATATCGTATGATCCAATAACTCTACTACCATGTATTTACCCAAACAAAAGATATATGCCCTCCTGTTTACTGCATCATTATTGACAATAGCCAAGATATGGAAGCAATGCAGGTTTCCACTGATAAACAGATAAAGAAAATGTGGTACATATATACAATGGAAGATTACACAGCCATAAAAAGGATGAGTTCTTGTCATTTGTGCTATCAGTGATAGACCTAGAGGATGCCACACTAAGTGAAATATGTTAGAGAATATGATTTAACTACATGTGGAATATAAAAAACAAATGAATAAACAAACAAACAGCAGAATCAGACCTATGAATACAGAGAACAAACTGATGGTTGCCAGAAAAGAAGGGGACATGGATTTGGGAAATGGGAGATACGGGCTTCCAGTTACAGGATGAATGAGTCACAGGATGAAAGGTACAGCATAGAGATTATAGCCAATGATATTTAACAGCACTGTATGGGGACAGATGGTAGCTACACTTGTGGTGAGCATAATGTACAGAGAGGCTAAATCACTATGTTGTACACCTGACAGTAATGTAACATTTTGTTTCATCTATACTCACATAAAAAAAAAATTTTTAAAGAAATGGATGTGTCTAGACCAAGGGAACAGAATTGAGAACTCAGAAGTGGACCCAAAAGTATACAGCCAACTGATCTTTGACAAAGCAGGAAAGAATATCCAATGGAAAAAAGACAGCCTTTTTAACAGATGGTGTTGGGAGAACTGGACAGCAACATGCAGAAGAATGAAACTAGATCATTTTCTCACACC